TCCAGCAAACAATTGTCGTGAGAGGTCATCGGGTAACTCAAGTTACAATACCAAAAAATCCCACTTGATATATGTCACGTGAGCATAGGTGACCGATTCTTACTCACTTTCTTAGGAGGTCATTCCGTTTCTTGCAAAGCGATCCCAAAAAAATTCCTGACATTTCCTTAGAGATCATTCTGTTTTTGTCAAATTATCCCAAATTCCATTCCTAAAAAAAATTCGTCGAAACAAGACTTTTAAATAGGAATAAAACAAAAAAAAAAGAGAAGGAGGAGAGGGAGAAACACAAAGACATGGCGGGTCTTATTAAATTGAGTGTATGTTTGATTTAATAGTTAACATTGAGGGCCATGTCACCACTACAAAATCAACACTTGCTATTCTCTTTATCTATAAAAATAAGGTCGGGGTTTTGTTTTTCAATGACTTGATCTATCTGGGCAGAGAAATTCTATAATATCTTGTGACTGTCATTTACTATCATATGCTCTGGCTAATATTGATACCAACGACAACTTACGGCATACTTCTCAGTTCATTCTCCTACAAATCCAATCATGTCATCGCTTATACTCCGTCTTTTCCAACCTGAGACATTCAGTGTGTATGTTAACTGTCTCATCCGTTTGTCAATCATTCCTGCATTTCTTCTTGATATGTCTATCCTGTCGAACGATTGTAAAAATTTTGATGGCCTTTTCATGCTAGCATGTTTCTTCCAAAAATTCAGTGATCTTTTAATTTCAACCAGATTTAAAAAAATTTTTGACACCTCTGAAATCCATCCATTGTCTCTGTTGAAACATGGAGCTTCTTTTCTTTTAACTTGTCTTACCGCTTCTCATTATGCAACTTAACGTCAAACATTTCCAAAGTCGTGTTATTTGGAACGAGTCTTCTTTTCTTCGTCTTTTTCTTCTTTTATCCTCCTCCTCTTTGACATTCTTCTTCTTTAAAAATTGTATCTCCCTCCTTTGGTCACCTTCTTCTTTTTTTAAAAAAATTATTATTATTATTAACATTAAAATTAATAGTATTACTTTCCCATGATTTTTGATGTTTAACATTTCAATGTCCCAACCATCAGAGAAAAGGTCATAAATGTCTCCTTTTACACTTTCATGATAATTTTTCAAATAAAATTAACAACAAATTTACATAATTTTGCTTCAAATGTGAGGTTAAAATTGCTGATTAAAAAACATTTTGATTTTATTTTAAAAAGGTAATTTAATAAAAATTAAAATGAGTCTATCAATATCTTTCATAAAAAAAATCAAGAAAGTATTTCCAAATAAATTGATGTTCTTTTATTTTTTTCATTTTTTAGATTTCTTTCTTCAAAATATTTGTTTTTTTTTTTCGTTTTTTTTTATCCATTACAATCTGCAAAACTGCCATTTCAATGATAACAGGGCATTCTGTTCAAATGGTTTTTTGGATCCTTTTGTCTTGGCAACTAGCTTTAATTTTTAAAAAAAATGTCATTGTTTATTCCTATAAAATTGTTATAGGTCTTATCTCTGTAACCGTCGTAGTTCATGTTTTAATAAGTTTTAAATGCAAAAAAGTCCTTTTTGTTTCTTTGCCTTTATTTTTCAGTATTCTCCACTTTATCATGATGAGTTTCTAAAATTTATTTTCTTTTTATGATATACTGTTATAATGATATTCATGATCTTTTGTTTCTTATTATTATTATTATTTTTATTAGTATTATTATTATTTTCTTTGATTTCTTTAAACTACACAATTTTTTTTTCTGTTTTAGAGACCTCTTTTAGAAAAAAACCATTTTTTCTAATATAATTAAATATATTAAGACGATTTGTGTTTTGCTGTAATTTTCAAATTTTTTTTTTTATTAAATTTGTATATTTTTCAGGAATTTTCCTTAGAAAATATTCAATCTTTCCGACCAAATGTTTTCCAACTAATAAAATTGTTATGTTTTCCACATTTTGATATTTCTATTTTTTAAGCCTTGTATTTTGATTTTTTTTGAACATCTTTGTCAATTAAATACATTGCTTTCAGCAATATTGGCATATCAATAAAGGCACTTTTTTTTTTTTTATTTTAAAATAAATCAATATTTTGTTCGATGGTTTTTTTATTGTTCTGTTTCATTTTTGCATTTTGTTGGAAAACTTAACATATCATTAATTGTTATTAATTTTTCTACATTATAACATAATATTATTAATTATTATTATTATTATTATTATTATCATCATCATCATTCGATTTCTGCTATGGACACACTACCTACCAAGTCTGCGGAAAGACCTAAGGCAGGTCGTGGTGTGTTGTTATGGCCACATTTCATGTTAATTTTTTTTTTTTTTTTTTTTTTTTTTTTTTTTATCTCCGATGAAGTTGCTAGCGTTACATAGACAAAGTTCTCCTTAGTGTGTGTGCTGTACTTAATAAGACAATTTTCTGTATGTCTCTTAAGCTGGGGTTTCCAGGGATTCTTTCAATGTGTTGTTTTGTT